GCAACCAATCAATAAAGAAGTCCTGCATCTAAGGATATAAAGCAGCAGCCATACCAAAACTGGTTAAAGGGGCAGAGATGTGGAATAGGCTGGTCCCACACCCACACATGGGAGATAAAAATCGAGAGGGATCTCTCAGCTATGGAGGTTCCTCCCTGAGGAGTAAAGGGGTCCAGCCCCACACCAGGCCCCCCAGCCTAGGGTTCCAGTGCCAGGAAGAGGAGTCCCCACAACTTCTGGCTGTAAAAACCAGTAGGGATTGAGGCTGAGTGAGACAAGGCTGCTGCAGTCCCAGGCAGTTCCTCTAAAATGCAGACTTATTAGGACTCACTCCCTCTGAGCTCCAGCACTGGGGTAGCAGTGCGAAAACTGCCAGGGACATACAGGGAGGAACAGAACTGTCAGGCATAAGGGCAAGAGCTGGAGGGGCAGTTTTCTCCCAGGCAGAACTGCTGGCAGAGACCACTGGTCCTTTTCTGAGCCCTCCCTCCACAGAGCCAGCTGACAGGTAACATACCCGAGTCTCTATCAACCTGGCTAATGTTAATTGCCCCGCTTTGATGATTCTGAGACCTTACCCCACCAACTTAGAGGCCCATCCAAGCTGTTTCCAGTGGCTTTTCCATACAAATGGCCTGTCTTAGCTCACGTTTCAGACTTTCCTAAAGCCTCTCAAACAAGCAGCATCTGGCCTTGGAGTGTCCTGTACCTCTTGCTAAGTGGCCCTGAGCCTGGCACTAGCAGCAGCTGGCCTTAGTTCACAGCTTGGCCTCTCTTGGGCAACTCCAAGCCAAACACAAGTAAAAGCCATCTGTAGATCACTCTGTAGCTCAGGCTGGGTGGCCCTATGTAGAACACAGGTGGTGGCTGACCTTTGCCTGCACCTCCTGGGAGGCCCCAGAGCCAGTGTACCCAGTGGATAGCTTCAGGCCACACTGAAGCACCAGTCAAGGGGCAGACTTAGTGAGCACCAGAGCCTACCTGAAGTAAGTTCTGCTGTGTGCGGTCAGCCCCTGCACAGCTGATCCTCCACTGTGGTCAGTGGTTGCAGTCAGTCCTTACAGCCAATCAGCCTGGCAATAATCTGTCCCACGAATGTGCCAAGAGCAATCAAAGCTCAACTACAAGAGAGGGGTGTACCTGCGCCCACAGGGCAGAAGGATGGTGCACCTGGAATGCCCAGCTTGGGTGAATAGAGTGGCTGAGCCACTGGGCCCTATGGGACACCTAATGCATTACGCCACTCTACCAAGCTGGGGGGATGTAGCAGCTCTGATGTAGAGAAACAGAGGAAGGCTTCCAAAATGAGGAGACAAAGAAACATGTCCCAAATGAAGGAACAGAACAAAACTCCAAAAAAAGAACTAAACCAAATGGAGACAAGCAATATACCAGATGCAGAATTCAAAATGCTGGTTATAAGGATGTTCAAGAAACTTAGTGAGAATGTCAACAACATAAAATAGGACCAGTAAGAAATGAAGGATACACTAACTGAAATGAAGAACAATTTATAGGGAATCAACAGTACAGTAGATGAAGAACAGGATCAAATCACAGATTTGGTAGATAAGGAAGCAGAAAACTACAAAAACAAGAAGAAGAAAGAATCCAAAAATATGAGGGCAGTGTAAAAAGCCTCTGGGACAACTTCAAGTGTAACAAAATTCACATCACAGGGGTGCCAAAAGGAGAAGAAAAGGAGCAAGAAATTTTTTTTTAAACCTACTTGAAAAACTAATGACAGAAGACTTCCCTAACTTGTCGAAGGAAACAGACACACAAGTCCAGAAAGCACAGAGTCCCAAACAAGATTAACCAAAGAAGCCCACTCCAAGACACATTATCATTAAAAAGCAAAAGATTACAGACAAAGAATCTTAAAAGCCGCAGGAGAAAAGCAGTTAGTTTCCTACAGGAGAGTTCCCATAAGACTGTCAGCTGATGTCTCAAAAGAAACTTTGCAGGCTAGAAGGGATTGGTAAGAAATACTCGAAGTGACGAAATGCAGGGACCTACACCCTAGATTACTCTATGCCACAAAGCTATCATTTAGAATCAAAGGGCAGATAAAGAGCTTCCCAGACCAGAAAAAGCTAAAGGAGTTCATCACCATCAAACTATTATTATATGAAATGTTACTGGGACTTATCTAAGAAGAAGGAAAAAGAGATAAAAAATATGAACAATAAAATGGCAATAAATACATATCAATAATTAAATCTAAAAAACAAAATAAATGAACAGGCAGAATAGAAAAAAAAATTCATGTCCTCAAAATGGTACATGATTTAGAATGACAAATATAATGTTAGCATAGAGGAAAGAAGACAGGAGTAGGGGAGGGGACAAAAGGAAATAAGAACATGAGAGATGTCTAATTATAGTGTGTCCCGAACTGACCCCTGTGCACCTGCACCCAGAGCGGGGCAGGGTGACAAGTGAAAATGGCCACCAAAGGACGCAGGCGTGGCGCTGCCATGGGAGACCTAACGCCCGCCGCGCTGCCTCCGCAGTCAGGGGTCTGGCCGTGTCAGGCAGGTGTTCCCAGCTGAAAAGCTGGGACCCTTGTCAGTCATGACAAACAGGTAGTAAAACTGTCGCTGGCCCAAACCGGCAACACAGACCGCTGCCCGCAGTGCCGCAGATCCAGGGGAAGGGCCTGGGAAGAGCCAGGGTGCGAGCAGGGGTGGCGGGGGCTGAACAGGCACTGAGACGGAGTTGGTCGAGAGGGCGGGGCAGAGGGGCCAAAGACAGGGAGGGCCTCGTGGGCTGGGAAAGCCAGCTGCTTCTGACGGACAGAAGCGAGGGAAGACTGCAGACTGCAGCGGAGTCCCTGGGGTGCCCTGCGGGGCAGGGCAGGTGAGGGCCCCCCCACTGTCGTCATTGGTGCCGGATGACTGGCCGTTCACGAGAGCGAGAGAGACACAGAAAGAGCAAAGAAGTGAGGCAGGCACAAGAACGGTGTTAATGAACAAATCAACACACTGGTCACTGGCACCCAGACTGGGGAGATAACACAGCAGGAGCCATGACCGAGGACACCTCCTTGTCAAAGAGACCAGGAGTCTGGCCCAAAGAGCACCTGCAAGTGACCCCTAACGTGACGTCCAGGGCAGCACTCAGCCCACAAGCTGGCCGGGACAGCTGGGCGGCTGCCAGGACGGCCGTGCTCCCCCAAGCAGCTCGCACGTGCCGCCGCCGGAGGCCCTCTCCGGAGCCGCAGGGGAGGCGGACGGGCTGTGCAGAAGCGGAAGCAGGGCAGCAGACATTCTAAGAAAAGATGCCCCTGACCACTGGGCAGCCTTTGCACTTTCTGCTCAGAAAATGTGTGACTCCCTCGGGCCACCTCCCCCGTTGCCCCTTTCCAGACAGGCATTTCTCTGTGGCCACCCTGTGTGCCGACCACGGTGCGCTGGGTGGGGATGGCTTAACGTGAGGTGACAGCAGGTCTTCTGGTGCAAACACAGGCCACGTGGGCTTGACGGAGCACTGCCCCTGCCCAGGGGCTGCAGACCTGGATGATGCAGGGACCGCACGGCATTGCTTGGTAGTGACAGCCACATCTACCAGCACCTGTCCTCCCCTTCACGCACCTCGTAGCTGAGACTCGGCAGCCCCAGGCGCACAGCAGCCAAGCGGCTGTGCTGAGCAGCCCTTTTCTAGGTCATCGCACAGAAAGATGTCTGCTGCTTGTGTCTCAGGCTTGAGAGGAAACCTGGTGCTGGACTTTGCCTTTTCCCCCACCTTCCACTGGCAAGAATGGTGACCTCCAGAGTGGCCTTGAGAGCTGGAGCTGCCACAGCAGCTTGGGTCCCTGAGTGACAGTGCTGAGCAAAGCTATTCGTCTGAGAGGCTCTCCTTGGAAACAACTGTATGCGACAAACACCCAAACTTCCATGTTTTTATGCCGCTCTACTTCAGGGCACGCTGTTATTGCAGTGGTCTAGGCCCCCCTGACACCCTTGGCACGTTAGATCTTCACACTCGCCCAAACCAGGTGAAAACATGCAAAAATGCAAACGGCCCTGGCCCGGTGGCTCAGGAGTTGGAGCATCATCCCACACACCAAAAGGTGGCAGGCGCAGTCCCTGGTCAGGGCGCATCCCTCTCTCTCTCTCAAATCAACGGACGAAGAACATATCCCTCGGTGAGGATTAAGAGAAAAAAGAAAAACTTAAAATAATTTGTTAGTAGGGCGGAATTTTTTCCCTTTTTCTCTTTTTACTCCAATTTTTCACTGTTGCTATTACAATGATGATGCTGTGATAGTTTAAAAAAGACAGGATGAAATAAGTTTCTCTGTACTGTCTGCTCTCACAGTGCCTTTCACAAGTGAGCCTGAAACTGCATCCATGGAAAAGAAAGACAGGCTGTTTTGACAATAAAATAGGAAACAGAACATGAAAAAGAACAGTGTGGAGAAGGACCACAGAATGGTGTCCTTTCGGAGAGCCTCTGAGCAAGGAAGCGTTACGACTTTAGACTCTGTCTGTCAAAGTCTGGCAGGACGGGTTCTTTCTGGGCTGGCTCCCTCGACCACCCTGAAGTGACAGGAGGCGAGCAGCTCGTTGTGTGGCCTGGAGACTCAGCAAGTTTTAAAATGACAGCACCAGCTTCTGTCCTTAGGAGCTTTCCCAAGAATTAGCCATGGAAGCAGGAGGAGACAGACAGCAGGGGACAGTGAGGGCGCAGCAGGCGTGGTACAGGTGTCAGCTTTGCTGGTCAGTTACCAGGGGCAAAGGATTTAGCCACTCTGTTCTGTCTTGTCACTGACATTTCCCCCATTTTGCCAACTTTTCTCAGGGATCGCTGAGAGATTCAAACAAAGTAAATGACATAACAGGTAACACGGCCCAGGTGACACATCCCAGGAGCCCACAGATGTGTCTGCTGTCTCCCCGTGCAGGACAGGGGACGGACAGGAGCGTGTGACAGCTCTCCTGCTGTAGACAGCAGCAGGAGACTGGGGTGTGGTGCGGGTCCCCGCGAGCTCCCACCTGAACTCTGTGGAACATCTGCAGATTGATGGCTTTGACCTCTTCCAGCTGCTGGCGCAGGGCGACAAGAGTGTCCTGCTTCTCGTGGGTGTCCTTTTCCAGCAACTTCATTGCGATTTCCATTTCGGCTTTCATGCCAATTTGTAACTCCAGTTCTTTCTCTAGTTCCTTAAAAGGACAGTAACAACGAGAAGATTAATACTAAAGTAAAACCAGAAATAAATTCAACTGAGGCTATATTTGGGCGATACATAAAATATAGAATCAAGGTTAGAACAGGTTAGGGAGATTTAGAAAAAGTCTGCCTGGAGAATAACTAGATTTAAGTTTCCCCCTTTTTCTCATTTTACAATGAACGCTGGCTCTGTACCAAGTCCCCGGAAAGCTGGTAGGTGGTAGTACGTGCCTGGAGTTCTGGCAACCATGTTCTTCAAACCCTAAGATCAGAACATAGGGTTTGAAAGAATGTCTGTCTCATATTTCAGCGCTAAAGCAATTTGATGTTGCATGTTAGGACTTCTGGAACGATTGGCTAGTTTATGGAAACAAAGGTGAAACCACTTTGAAATGGTTCTGTCCAGGGTAACTCAGGACACGTGTTCTCTATATGCATGCAAAGCAGCAAAGAAACAAAGAAGTGTAGCAGGTCCAAGAACTGTGTTTAATAAAAAATCAGCAGCCACTGACTCGTAGATGGGATGGAAATAGGCAGACCAGAGGCTCTGACAGAGGGAAGTGTATTGTAAAGAAGCCGTATGTCTGGTTTCACAGCCATTCCTGAAAAAGTTTATAAAATTGGAAAATGTAAGTAACAATGCAGAGTTGAATGGTAAATACAGCCCTTTTTTCTTTTAAAGACTTTATTTAATTTTAGAGAGAGGGGAAGGAAGGGGGAAGAAGAGGGAGAGACATTGATCGGTTGACTCTTGCACGCCCCCAGAGTCCTGGTCCTCAACCCAGGCATGTGCCCTGACTGGGAATTGAACCAGCAACCTTTGGGTTCCCAGACCGGCACTCAATTCACTGAGCCACACCAGCCAGGGCTGTTTTTCTTTTTAAAGGGATAATTTTGGACTGTGTGGGTGTCAGTCGGGTATGCACATACATGAAAAGTGCTACAGAAATCACTCACTGGGCCCCCGGGGGATGCTTTCTGAAGACCCGCGGGCTCGCACACTTACCAAACGGACTTTCCTTTCCTCCTTGAGCTGCTTCCACACATCACTATACATCTCGTCCAGACCCTGCCGAGTCTGCCTGTAGGTCTCCAGCTCAACTTTTACGTCCTGTTTTGTTATCTGTACACAGCCAGAATACCGAGAGAAAAGGTTTGTTTACCGGGAGCCAGCCAACTACAAAGTATTTAAAAATATACCATAATTTTTTGGCCAGGTTCCCAGTTGAGGGGCGTGTGAGGGGCAACTGATCAATGTATCTCTCACATATTCATGTTTCTCTCCCTCTCTTTCTCCCTCCCTTCCCCCTCTCTAAAAATAAGTAAAAATAAAATCTTTTTAAAAAATGTTAAAGCTATTTCAAATATCTTTGAACTTGAGGATGAGAACAAGCCAATAGATTTTTTAAAACTTTTTTTTTAAGTCCTCATTCAAGGACATGTTTTTATTGATTTTAGAGAGAGGAAGAGAGAGAGAGAAATGTCAACTGGCCATCATATGCAACCAGACTGGGAATCAAACCGCAACCCAGGCATCAAACCCTCAACCTTTTGGTGAACAGGTTGATGCTCCAACTAACTGACCCACCTGGTCAGGGTAAACCAATAGACTTTTTAAAAGAAAATTTAGGTTCAGAAAACAATTTGTCTTTACTTTTCTTTAAGACAGAACAATTGTTCTTAGTGGGCAAGGCCCTAGCCAATCCACCATTCAGTACTCATCGAGCATGTTTTTAGCACTGGATGAATTTTGAGATGAATCAAATATGGTCTCTACCTTCAAACAGTCAGGTGAGCAAGTGATTCTACAAAACAGCAAACCAATAAGGACGGGAGGTGCAAAGAGCTGTGGGGACAGGGGAGGAAGCCCAGGCCCACTGCGGGGGGCAGGGGATGGCGTCCCAGAGAAGCCGACGTGGGAACAGGAGCAGAACGGGAGACAGGAGCTTCTGTGTGCAAAGGCCCAGAGGTGGGGGAGCAGGTGCTTGGGAAACCCCGTGTGGCCCACGGGCTCGAGGGCACCAGGGAGGGGCAGCAGCAGGAGGCCCTCTCAGGGCAGGCTGTGGCCACGCCATGAGTGAGAAGTGTGAGGCACCTGCCTGAGTGCAGAATGCGCCCATCGGCCGTGAGGCCAAGCTCTCACCTCTACACTCTTCTCACTTCTTTCACGGATTAATTCATTTTGTTCTCTTAATCGTTGCTGTTCTTCTTGAAGTGAACAAATCCGGTCTGTTGCAGCTGAAAGCTAATTAAGAAAGATTTTCATATTTCTTAGTATCAGCATGAACTGTGAAGTTCAGATGAAAATCTAACATTTGGCATCTTCACAATCAATAATTTATTTTCACATACTTGATATTTTATTTTACTTTTAAAAAGATTTTATTTACTTTTAGAAAGAGGGGAAGGGAAAGAGACAAAGAGAGAGAGAAACATCAATGTGGGACAGAAACAGTCCCCTCTCACAGGCCCCCAGCTGGCGACCTGGCCCACAACGCAGGCATGTGCCCTGACTGGGAACCGAACCAGTGACCCTTCAGTTTGCAGGCCAGCACTCAATCCACTGAGCCACATCACCCAGGGCCAATATTTTAAAGTTTATTTCTTGTTTGGAATAGGTACTATATTCACATGGTACAAAATTCTAAAGATGTAACAGTGTGTATAATAAAATTTTTCCCACCTCCTGCCCCTAGCCATCTCTGCCCTCCCCCATTTTTCTCCTTTTATAAAAGTGACAGCATACTACACAAGGTGGGCAAAGATATATGGATGCAAGACATTAGAAACAGCCTGACCAGTTTAGTAAATGATAGTGGAAGTATAAAGTAGAAATATGTAATAATTTGAGAACATATTTATAACATCAGTGTGAAATAAAATAGGTTATATAGTATTTTCCCACCCCTTAATTTAAAAAAATCAGCTATGTTAAAAATGCTTAAGAAAGATGAGGACTATAAACACCACATGAAAAAAGTTGTCACTTAACCAAGAGATCATGGGCTTTTTTTCTGATTCTTTATTCTTTTCAGTTTTTCTAGCCAATGAGCAAAAGGATATTTTATCACGAGAGTAAGAATTAAAAGATTCTGGGGCAGGAATCACAATCACACCATTGAAGATGGGTCTGAGGAACGCATCTTCCTTGCCTTGAATGAGCTGCCACAGGTAGGAGAAAAGCGCACAGAAGCAGGATGCAGTCCCCGACCTGCTGAGAGGCTGCCAGCAGAGCCAAGGCGGAGGAGCAAGCACAGCAGCCGGGCGCCTTTCCCAGCTTCTGACCTCAGCCTGAGAGGCGGCGGCTGGAGGGGAAGGAGGCAAGGCGTCTGGGCTTGGCACTTGGCTGTGCTCCGAACGCCACTCTCTCGCTAATGGGGGCCTCGAAGCACTGAGCTCTTTCTCTTCCCTTAGTCAAGAGCATCCAAGTCCATGCAGACTCGGAATCCAGAACTGGGGTTTCCAACCCTAACTGATACGCCCAATGACAGGAATTTTAAGGCTTTAAAGGAGGTACGAGTTGCCACAAGGGAAGCCACAGGCAAAAACCACGAGTTAGTTCCCATTTCACTCTCTGAAAATAGAGAGCACACCAGGAGAGAGGTTTACTTTTCTCTAAAGGACGTTCCTAATACAATAAGTCAGTCGTTTAGTTTCAAAAGCTAAATTAGACCTACCTTCAAAGCAGGCCACCTTGTCTGGGAGAACAAGGAGTGAATCTGCTTGTTCGAAAATCCACTCACATTGCTCCAGGGCCCTGTCCACACCAATGGTTGTACTGGGTGCATTTATGGGATATGAATCTGATGCAATCTTTTCAAGAGTTTTAAGGTACCGATTATCACCCACTTTGGAGGTGAGAACTCAAGCACCTACCACCTGCACTTGGGGCCCCGAGGCCCCCACACTGAAGGTGAAGGCGAGCTCTCCAGTTCCGCCTGGGCCAGGCCCCTCCTGTGACGTCCCTCTATGAACCGGCCCTTGAACTTCCTCTCCTCACACAGGTCTGAGCTCCTCTCCTAAAAGCCTACGGGGCTGGCTCCGCCGCAGGCGGCAGGCCGCAGACCGCAGACCGCCTCGCTGCCTGGGCCCGCCACCAAGAACGCGTGGCGGTGCGTCCCGGGTGGCCGTGCCGGAAGAGGGGGACCCTCTCGCCCCTCTCTTCCTCCCCAGGGAGGCTTGGCGGGGACACGGAGCGGCCGGGGACCGCTCCGGGCAGGACGCCTCAGGAAGGCTGAGCACGCCCTCCGGCCGACAGGAGCCAAGACGGTGCGCCCAGGAGACTGCCGCGTAGCGGGCAGCCAGGGGCTTCCTCGGCCTCCGCCCTCCTTCATCTTGTCCTTCTCTCTCCCTAGTGAGAAAGCGGAGGAAGACCACGCAGCGCGGAGGCTGGTCCCACGCTCCCGAGAGGCCGAAGAACAGAAGGCGAGGTGCTCTCATTTGGGAACCGACTCTGTGTTGTCGCGGCCGCAGGAGCGGCTGAAGAGTAAGAAATTGGCGCGCGCGGGCGCGGGCGCGGGCGCGGGCGCGGGCGCAGGCGCAGGCGCGGGGCAGGCCCAGGGGCGACCCCGTGCGGGGCTGGGCGGGCCGGCGGGCGCGGGCCACCCGGGGAGAGCAGGCGTTCTGAGGCTGTGAAAGGCGAGAGCGCCGTCCCAGGTGCCGCTCCGCGCAGGTTGGCAGGTCGGCCCCACCCGCCGGCGGGCAGCTCGGCGGGCAGCTCGTCAGGGCGCCTGCGACGCCATTTCTCTTAACCTCGGGCCGCTCTGCTTTAAGGTTCAATAAGTCACAAACCTCTTCTTGAAGCTTTGAATTAGTCTTTTCCAAGCCATCTATCTTGGTTTGAAGATCCCCAACTGTGCAGCTATAGAAAATACAACATTAAAATAAAAGGGAATTAAAAGGCTGCCTGCTCTCCGGACCTGGGAGCATGACATATAGATTCCTAGATTTCCTGTAGGAAATGCAGAGTCCAAGGGTCTCCAGTGAACTCTAATGACAATTCTACACACATACGTGTGTTTATATTTATCAAAAGCTTTCAATGTTTTCTCCCCAGAATATGCTACCCATTTTCTTTTTTCTTTCTTTTTTTTTTTTGGTCAACTGGAAAGAAAATTTTTCTCCCCAACACACACAATAAACGGGAACCAAAATGTGTTGGCAGTCATATATTTAAAATATTCATATCAAGATATTGGTAGTAGGATCAAAGGTGATTTACAAATCTATTTATACTTTGCCCCATTTTACAAATATCCTTCAAGTAATAAGTACTTTTTTCATACTGTAAGACATGTAGAAAGCCAAAGGAGACTTGGTGAGCAGTGACAGCAGTAACTTTCCCTGTGGATGATGTGCCAGGCCCTATTTGTTCTAAGCCCTTTAAATGCACGCAGCACTTTCCACAAGTCTGTGAGGTAAATTGTATTACCTATTTTACAGACAAGAAACCCATACCTTTATATTAAAACACTCATATTCACACCCCTCTGAAGGGACAGCCCGACTGAACCTGGCTTTCCGGCCCTAGACACTGCACTTTTGGGCTACAGGCCCTCCTGCCAAACCTGGAGCCCTGTGCCTATGAGGGGCAGCGACGCACAGCTGGCCAGGCCAGAGAATCAGGGCCAGCGATCGAGGGGGGCTTTTCTGCAACAGGGAAGGTGCGAGGGCCCTGACCAGGCTGAGGATGGCGGACTTCACTGTCCTTCCAGTCCTTTGACCCTTGTCCAAGGCCCTTCAATAAAATGGCTTGATTCACTCCACCCCCCTCCCCTGCCCAAATTGGGTGGAAGAAAAATAAAAATACAAAGGCATAAAATGAAAAAGGAAACAAAACAAAAGCTATGGAAGAAACTAAAGTTTCAAGAGTCTATAGTTGTCCCTTCTACACCAACTATACAGCTTAGAAATTAGAGCAAAATCTACACTTTCTTAGAAAACATAAATGACCTGAAAAGGCAGATTCTCCAGAGATAAAACCAAGATGAACTAACAACGGAGAAGCACTGAGGCCCTGGCCAGGTCCCTGGCCATGCACTCTGAGGCTCACACCCGACGGGCAGAGGGCGCTCCCAGGCCCCGGCGCAAGGCCAGGCCTCCCGCTCCCGGGGGAAAGCTCAGAACCTCGCCACCGGGCGGCAGGGGAAGGACTCCAGGGTGGTCAGGTCAAGTTCCATGTTAAGAGAACAATTATTAAAAGTAGGGTTAAGCAGAGCTTGTTCCTGTGATTCAGTGTGAAGAAGTTCACTCAAAAAGTAGATCACATCAACAGATTAAGGGAGAAAAGTCACGATTACCTTACTGGATGCTAATAGGCATTTGATAAAATTCAACATCTATTCCTTATAGAAACTCTCAATAAACTAGGAACTGATCAAGAACCTCTTTCAAAGTAACAGCCAACATGGCACACACAGCCAGCTGGAGCAGCACTTCCCTAGGCCTGTGGTCTGTGCCGAGGGGCATGCCTGCTCCTTCACCTGCCTCCCCAGCTCCCGGGGCCAGAGGGGCCGCTCTTGGGAAGCACCGCTACTGTGCACTGCACACTCTCTGAAGGGGGTTCAGGGAGAGAACAAAGTCTCTCAAAGACAGGAGACAGACACTCTGCCCTCTCTCACCAACATCTCTAGTACCTGGTGTTTCATGAGACACAGCAGCAGAGGCTTTCCAATGAACATGAAAAATCAAGATAAGGATGCTGGCTCTGGCTACTGAATGCTCTTAAAGGGTTAGCCCAGTGGCTCTCCCCCTTTTTTCTGGCCCCAACATGCTGGAGGGTTGTGTGCTGATTCCCAGCAGCAGCAGCAGTACTGCCCATGGTAGTGATTTTCAACCCAGTGGCTGTGGGGTGAGGGCTGGAGAGGCAAGGTTTTATTTACGGACTCTCTAAGTTGTTTAACTGCACAAAGCAAAGAACCGAAGAATTCCCAAAAGCAATTTTTCAAGAGATCAGACTTCTCTGGTCCGCTCATGGGAGCATGGCACAATAATCTTTTTTCTTGGTTGGGGAAAAAAATTTATAACTACATTTTTAACTCAACAACTCAATAAAAGAACTCAACAACTCGATAACTCAAAAAAGTTCCATGAAACAACTGTCCGGTACTGAGAATGAACTGTAACACTGGGAAACGGAGGAAGCCCTACCTTAAGTGCCGGTTCAGCTCTTCCACATAATTTTTTTGATCAAGGACATCAGTAATTCTTTCATGCCTTTAAAAAAAGAGCATAAAAAGAAGTTCTTTTCATTAAGAATTAACACTTTTTAACTTAGCCCCAACCTCCAATCACCTTGTAGGAATGCAAATGTCATCGTGAAACCAAGAGGCAGGGCTCAGGAATGTCTGCAGGGCCTTGAGAGAAGAGAGAGCAAGGCTGGTGGGCAGGCGTGGAAACACGTGGCCTGGAGAGCAGGCGCCCTGCAACCGACTCGCCACTGGGGAAGAGGAAAGCCATGGCATGCAAGATGGGGACACCAACAGCCATGTGCAAGTGGCTCCTGGGGCAGATGAAGATGCCCTTGCTGTAATGAAGGAGGGTGGCTGGCTTAGAAAAGGATACCATGACACTTCAAAACACAAAGCTGAGCAGTCTGCATTAAAAAAAAAAAAGACTTTAGCCCTGGCTGGTGTGGCTCAATGGATTGCGTGCCAGCCTGTGAACCAAAGCCAGTTCGAGTCCCAGTCAGGGCACGTGCCTGGGTTGTGGGCCAGGTCCCCAGTAGGGGGCACACAAGAGGCAACCACATATTGATATTTCTCTCCTTCTCTTTCTCCTTCCCTTCCTTTCTAAAAATTAATAAATAAAATCTTAAAAAAAAAAGACTTTAACATTTTAAAGTTAGCCCCCCTCTTTATATACATATGTACATATACACATGAATAGGATCATTCTACACAAGTTCATACCACAGGCACTGCCTTTGTTTCTCAGTGCGGTCACTTTTTCCTTTCACCTGTTTCGCACTTTACCTAACTCTCCCAAGTAACCAACATAATAGCCTGATGAGCATCCTATGTGCGTATAATCATCATATCTATTTATCTACCTTGTATGTGTATACCATGCAATTAAAATATAAAACAAATACCAAGGATTTTTTGGGTTTAAAACATGGGATATACATGTATATGCTTCCAGTAACATACTTTTTTCACTTAATATCTTGTGGAAATCCTTCTAAGTCAACTATACCCATAGCCAAATCTATTCTTCCTTCCTTCCTTTCTTATTTTTTTGAGAGGGAAAGAGAGGGAGAAAGAGAGGGAGAGAAAAATCAAAGCAAGAGAGAAGCATCGATTGGTTGGCTTCGGTGTGTCCCCCACTGGGGGCCAAACCTGAAACCCAGGCCTGTGCCCTGACTGGGAATTGAACCAGAGACCTTTCGGTTTGTGGGATGATGCCCAACCCACTGAGCCACACCGGTCAGGGCAAATCTGTTCTGTTTTTAGGTCTCCGTGATATATCAAAGTGGGATATTATGGATGTTCCATAATTTATTCAGTTATTCCCTTACCGAAGGATAATCAATTTATTTCCAGTTTATTTTTTTAATACAAAGAATATATTTTGTTTAAGTTTAAAGGAGGGTGTGCAAAGCATTAATGAGGTTCCCACTGGTCCCAAGGCTCTGAGACCAAGGCTCCTCGTCAGGAACACGTTTCGGTGACACAAAGTCAAACAGTCAGACGCAACCCAAGGGTTTCCAGCGCCACTCCCTTCCGCAGTCTCCCGGGCAGCACTGTGATCAGGTCTGAGTGCCACTCCCCAAGTGGTCTGTGTGCGTGGAAGCACAATGTACAAATAGGGCTGTGTGTTCTTTTTTATCAGAACATAAATGATACCAGGTTTTGCACACTGTTTGCTTTCTTTCTCTTTTCTTTATTTGTTCTGGGATAACTTTTAAAAAAATTCTCACCTGAGGATGTGTTTATTGATTTTAGAGAGAGGAGAAAGGAGAGAGAGAGAAACATCAATGTGAGAGGGAAACATTGATCAGCCTCCTCCTGTATACACCCCAACTGGGGAGCGAACCTGCAACCTTTTGGTGCATAGGATGATGCTCTCACCAATGGGGCCACCGGGCCAGGGCCAGGATAACTTTTTTAAAAAGAATATCCTTTTTAACAAGGATGGGAGAGAGCTACACATGACACGAATGACACCCTAGACACACTAAGATCAAAGAGCAAGTCCATGGGCAACTTATAACAGTACCATCCCATTTATATTTAAACAAACTGTACAGCAAAATGCATGACCAACAAAGATGTATGCGCGTGGCATTGATAAAAGGCTTGGAAGGAGACACGAGGAGCTTCTTCTGAGGCAGTGGCAGTGGGATGGAGATGAGGGGACAGTGTGAACAAAGAAATTTCACTTGTACTTTGTATTCTGTAGAGCTTAATTCCTCACACAATGGGAAAATTAATGTATCACCTCTGTAATTAAAAATAGATAAATAAAAGCTAGAATTTTAAACAAAACTAAAACAAATGTAGCATTCTTTGCCAGAATTTCATTAAAAATGTGAAGAACAGCATACAATGCAGTACTTACTCTTTGCCACCATCAAGATCCTGCATATCCTTAAGGTAGAGGGAAAAATCGATCACTCCAACCTAATTAAAATAACATGCACAGGTTTAAATACAAAATCACTGTCTTGCTTTCCACATAGACCTTATACTCTTCAAATTCTGGGCATTTACATTCCTGTCTCTTTCCTACAAATACTTATTTAGTCAGGTTAATCAGCTCTGTAAAATAGCAATCAATAAAACAAACATGATGACAGAGGAGTGAGTGGAAGCTACACTAACCCCCTCCCAGGACCAATAGGGAATTACAACTAAATTGTAGAAAAAGCATCCTGAATAACCAACTGAACACTAGCTGGAGAGAAGCCTTACAACCAAGGACAGAAAGAAGAAACCACATCACCACAATGAGACTGGTACAGAGTGCAGAAGAGTCACAAGAGGGCTGGCCGGGCTCCCACGGGCAGAAGCTTAAGTGCCAGAGGGATATTTCAGTGGCTGGGGTGTCTCCTCGAGAGGTGTGGGGTCTAACGCACAAGCTGAGGACAGACTATAGCACCAGAGCTGGAAAGGAGCCCAGATAACATCCATCTGTGAAAAGCAACAGGGTTTCTGTCTGCCAAGGAGAGACGGTTGGAGACTCAGAGAGCGTCTTAAAGGTCCAACACACAAAACCTTGTGTGCAGCCACTTGTTCTGGGCTCCAGCAGAAAGCAGGCAGAGTGGACTAGAGATGCTTAAGGAGACTCTGAGAGAACTGACGGAACAGCTGCCAGGATCCCTGTGCTGAGTCACGCCCAGTACTGCAGAAGCCATCTTTCTCAGGCAGAGCACTCACCTCCATGTAGCATCAGCCTGAGGGGAAAGAATAACCCTGCCTGCAGGAATTACTTTGCCCCACTCTGTGGAGCTTAAGTCTGGCTGCTGATCACAGCTTGATTAGATTAACAAGTGAGCAGTTCAGAGGCTGATTAGTTTAACGCCTAAGGTAGAAAAGACAAAGAAGCAGCCAAAATTGGAAGACAAAGAAACAGACCCTAAATGAAAGACTAAGAGAATTCTCCAAAAGAACTAAATGAAATGGAGACAAGCAATTTGTCAGATAGTTTATAATAATGATTATAAGGATAATCAACAGCATGAAAAAAGACATAGAAACCATAAAAAGGGACCAGACAGAAATAAAGAATGCAATATCTGAAGTAAATACATTGGAAGGAATAAATATACTGGAAGGGCAGATGAAGCAGAGGATCGAATCAGTGTTTTGGAAGACAAAGTAGGAAAAAACTCCCAGGTAGGGCAGCAAAAGGAAAAAAGAATTTAAAAAAATGAAGAGAGCTTAAGAAACTTTGGACAATATGAAGCATAACAACATGTGCATCATAGAAACATCTGCATCAAAAGGAGAAGAGAGTGAGCAAGGGATCAAGAACCTATTTGAAGAAGTAATACCCAAAAACTTCCCAAATCTGGTGAAGGAAAAAAGTCACACAAGTCCAGGAAGCTCAGAGAGTCCCAAACAAGTTGGACCCAAAGAGGCCTACGCTGAGACACATCCTAATTAAAATGACAAGGCTTAAAGACAAGGAGAGAATCCTAAAAGCTGCAAGAGAAAAGAAGGTAGTTACCTACAAGGGAGCCCCAATTAGACTGTCATCTGATTACACAAGAGAAATGTTTCAGGCCAGAAAGGGGTGGCATGAAATACTCAACATGATGAAAAACCAAGGCTACTTTACCCAGCAAGGCTATCATTTAAAATTGAAGGAGAAATAAGGAGCTTCCCACACAACAACAACAAAAAAGGACTTTGTTAATACCAAGTCAGTACTGCAACAAATGGTAAAGGGTCTGCTCTAAGAAGAAGAAAAAGAGAGGGGGAAAAAAAAAAAACAAACCCCAGAGGAAAACAGTCTGACAATAAAATGGCACTACATACATATCTAGTAATAATCACCTTAAATGTAAATGGCTTAAACACTCTGACCAAAAGACAGAGGACAGCTGAATGGATAAGAAAACAAGACCAATACATATACTGCCTCCAAGAGACCCATCTCAGACTGAAAGATACACACAGACTAAAGTAAAGGTTTGGAAAAAGATATTTCATGCAAATGGAAAAGAAAAAAAAAGCTGGGGCAGCAGTACTTATAGCCGACAAAATAGACGTTAAAACCAAGGCTATAGTAAGAGACAAAGAAGGATACTATATAATGATAAAAGGAACAATCCAACAAGAGGATATAATCCTATTAAACATTTACGCATCCAACATAGGAGCAACTAAATATGTAAAGCAAATCCTGATGGATGTAAAAAGAGAAGTCGACAAATACAGTCATAGTTAGGGATTTTAACATTCCATTGACTACAATGGATAGATCTTCTGGGCAGAAAATCAACAAGGAGACAGCAGCCTTAACTGACACACTAGATCAAATGGATTTAATTGATATTTTCAGAGCATTTCACCCCAAAGCACCAGAACATACACACTTTTCAAATGCACATAGAATATTTGTTTTCTAACAAATGCACATGTTAGGATACAAAACAAGTCTCAGTAAATTTAAGAAGATTGAAATCATATCAAGCATCTCTGACCACAATGCTATGAAACTAGAAATCAATCACAAGAAGAAAACTGAAAAATACATAAAGACATGGAAGGTAAATAATATGTTGTTAAACAATGAATGGGTTAACAATGAGATCAAGGGAGAAATAAAAAAAGACCTTGGAACTAATGAAAATGGGAACACAACAATCCAAAAATCTGTGGGATACTGGGAAAGCAGTACTAAGAGGAAAATTCATAGTATTGCAGACCTATCTCAAAAAAGAAGAAAAAGCTCAAATAAACAATCAAACCTCACACTGAAAGGAACCTGAAAAAGAACAACAAACAAAGCCCAAAGTGAGTAAAAGGAAGGAAATAATAAAGGTTAGAACAGAAATTACCCTGGCTGGTGTGGTTCAATGGATTAAGTGCTGGCCTGCCAGCCAAAGGGTCACCAGTTCAATTCCCAGTCAGGGCACATGCCTGGGCTGTGGGCCAGGTCCCCAGTGGGGGGTGTGCAAGAGGCAACCACACACTGATGTTTCTCTCCCTCTTTCTCTCTCCTTTCCCCTCTCTCTAAAAATGAATAAAAATCTTAAAAAAAAAAAAAAGAACTAGGACCAAAAAAGGCATAAAGCTGAAGTGGTCACACCAGCAAGTTCTAACTTTCAAACAAAAAATACTTCCTGCTCCAAAAAAACTGCTGTAGAAAACCAGAAAAGTATATTATCCCGCTTATTTTAAGAGATTAATACAATCCTGACACTGAAAAGTGACAAAGACAGTACAGAACAGGAAAAGTAGGAACAGTGTCACTAGTAAGTGGAACCATAAAAATCCCAAATCAAGCAGCGGCATATTAAGCCTGACACACTCAAAGAATAATGCATGATGCCAAGCGGGACTCATTTTAGAAATGCGGACATAATATCACAACAGGAAACCTATGAATTAATTCAATCATATTTATGGGTTAAAAACAAGTATGACATTTCAACAGATGTCAAAAAAGATATCTGACAGCATTCAACGTTCATCTTCAATAAAAATGCAAAGTAAATGAGAACAAAACAGGACTTTGTCAACAAGCAAAGGAGCACTCCTCAGACATCACCAGTAAACACTCACACTTCGTGGCGACAGATGAGAGGCACTGCATTAAAGGACACAGTGGGGGCTCAATCAGATCCATTATTTAATAAAATTCTCAATCTTTATTTTGTAATTGGACAAAATGATGTTCAAGTTCAGATGGGAGAATGGACAGCCTGAACTACATTGGAAAAAGCAAGTATAATACCGTGGGCAAGCAGTGAACTACCAGAATATAAAACACACCACGTGGCTGTAGGAATTAAAAGATGGTGCTACTGGCATAAGAACAGACACGGGGGACAGAACAGGGTCCAGAAGTAACCCTCTGCGCACTAGGGATACTTCACAAGCTAAAGGTGGGGTTTCAACTTAGTAGGAAAATAATATATCATATGTGATGTTCAGCAAACTGGTTCCCCACTTCTAAAGAAATCTAGACTCACACTGCACACTAAGTCAAAACAAATGACAGGCAAAATATTCAAATATAAAAAATACACAGTTGATTTGGAAAAATAATTTTTAGATGGGAAAGGACCTTCTAAGGACAATACCTTGAAAAGTGTAATGGAAAAATCCATTGAATTTGCCCCCAAAAATGTCTACAGAGAAAATGTACTGAGAAACCAGAAAAAAATTGTAACAAAAAATTTCAACAGTTAATATCCATAATCTATAATAAGGGAGTGGAAAAGATGTAAAACTCAGAAAAAGGAGTAAAGGATATGAACAGGTAGTCACAAAAGCTGAACCACCAATGGCAAATAACACATGAAAAAAATGCTTGACCTCCCCTGCTCTCAAAACGGTAAACTTAAGAATAGTTCTGTCTATTACATTGAAAAAAGCCAAGGACGCCCATTGTCACACTCTAACACTCGTGTAGAATGTGACAACTTTGACAGAGTGACCCCCAAATTTATCTTGGGGTAATAACTGGACAAGTGCACAAAGAGGGATGAAGATGTTTATAATGTTGCTGTTGTGCCATGTAAACGACCTAGGTTAGTCAGTACTGGTTAAGCGGCACAGGGCGTCCGCCAGATGGAACGCTGTGCAGCCGTTTAAAATGGCTTACGTCTCCAGCAACACTGAGGGCTATGTGCGACATGTTCTTCCAAACAATTACTAAATAGTGTGCTTTAAATAATCATATTTTGGTTAAAAAAAAAACAACTCCAAACATCTCTCTCTAAAACACACACATACACACCTTGCTTACTTATGTGCCCGCAAAGGTATATGCCACAATGTAACACTGAATTGGTTGTCTCTGTGTAATGCAATTGTGTGTGACATTTAGTTTCATTTTAAAAATACACTTCTGTATTTAAAAAACTTTTTTTCAACATGCAAAAACAACAAAACTATTGGGGAGGGGGGAGCTGACCTGGGCATAGAGGGATTGGGGAAGCTATAGATCCTTCAGGTCCAAACAGGTGGCAGGCAGAAGGCTGGGCAGTGGCCCCGCCAGATACAGATGACCTTCTTGCCCTGAGGAGGGGTCAAGGTGGGGATGGGTCAGAGTGTCTGTCCCGGGGGGACGCCGGGAGTTTAGGTCACCTGCTCCCGTCTGAAGAGAGCTGCCCACCCCTCTGTACCTTACGACTTTCATTCGTGCCCTGTTCTATCACCGGGCTTCCCCAAATCTCTCCCGACTCTACCTTGCCAATCCCCATCCAACCTCCTGGGACTTTCAGACTTGTCTGCTCAATGTTTTTGCTGTGCCTATTCATGGCCCCTTCTAACGCGTGACCTGGATTGATCATTCTCAAACCCTGGCATGAACATTTTACTGTACTGCTTAAAAACCTCCAAGAGCTTCTCAAAGCTCAAGGGACAACACTGAACCCTTCAGCAAGGCACCAATGGCCCAACATCCGAGCCCAGACTCCACCTTTGCCTCCCTTGTGGAGCTTCCTGTGTCCCAGCCACAAACTGCTTCCTGTCCGCAAACGTGCTGTGCTCTCTGTGTGCCTCTGCCTGAGCTCTTTCTTCACCTTTCCCCAGCTGCTTCCCTGTCTGCCCCAGGATGGCGCCCTGCACAGCCCTCTGTCCCTGTTGGAGGTTCAACATTGCCTACAGATCCTGGTAAAATCTCTGGCCTAGAGAAGTCATTCCACCCAGAACCAAATCCCCATTTTACCTGAGAATCCAAATCTTCTCCTTTTAAGCAAAGATTGGCATCAAGAACATTGAGTCCCACCAGGAGACCGACGATCACCATCCCCTCTTCCTCCATCATTAAGGCCTCTGGCTCATAGAACTCACTGCAAGAGAGGAGTGGCCACGGAGAGGCTCAGGATGCCCTCGCCAGCCCCTTTGCCCCGCCGCACCCGCCTGGCCCCCTTCTGGCTGGTAGTCTGGCTGCCAGAAGCTCCCTGGGGTGAATGTCCTTCTGCTTTCATTTCCCTCTCCTGCTGTAAGTGCTGCTGTTTCTTCTCTGGCCTCTCCTCTCTTCCTGTGGCTTAGAAAGTGCTGCTCCCGCCTCTGGTCCATTGTGAACTCTGCCATTTGGGCCTTGGACCCCAGCCCTTCTCATCCCCTCTTGGCTCCTGCATTCCCGACCCCACTCTGCCCCTCCTGTCCCCACAGGCTCCTTCTTCCACGTTGCTGTGAACAACTTCCAAAGCGCACCCCCACATTCAAGAATAAAACTCCCCCCTCTTCCGTGTGTCCCACGGAGCAACACTGGCTGCTTTTGTTCCTTACGGCCGCCACCTAGGCCCCTTGCAGGGGCTCCACCCCACCTCTGCCTGCTCCTGCTCACACGGTCTGCTAATTTACCATCGTGTGCCTGTGCACAAGAACTTGCTATCTTAGGGATCAGTTTCTTAGACAAAATGTGTACCTCAAAGGTAGTCAACTGTGCCCAAAGAACAAAGGATGTGACATATTTGAAATAAGTATTCACCATGTAAAGATATATTCAATAATAAGCCATGACTTGAAAACAATAAAAAATTTAGGAAGGCCATACTGTAAAAGATATTTTTGTCTCAGCTAGATAAGAGTAATTCTAGAGAGATTCTTCCCTTATGAATTCTCATATTCTAGAGAAAGTTCCTTTCATAATGATTATTTTTGTTTATAGTTATATAAATATCAAATATGAACTGTCATAATTTCAGATAGCCAATTAGTCTTTATTGGATATAAGACTATATTTACAAGAGGTATAAATATTTACAAACTGGATACAGACTCCTAAAATAAGTAATATATTACAAAAAAATCTAGTTCTAATGTCATTTTCCTGTTATTATCCAATCTAACAAATACAATTTTGTTGAAATTTAATGGAGTACACTGTTAGCTACCCAACTGAGGTATTTTTGAAGAGCAATCTTTTTAAAAATAAAAAGTAATATAAATCTTCATTTGTTCCCACCAGCTTTCGGATATCAGTGCTCTAAAAAATTAAATAGCACTATTTTAAAACTAAGCCACTAAGAATATTTATAATATTTTTAATAAAAGCTCTGTACATTATAAACTCTTGTTTGAATTCAAAGCAAAAGAAAAGCAAAGATAGGTGATGAAATACCTTAAGATATGTTTATTGTCTATCAGCACTTTCAGATAATCTGCCAGTTTCTTTTGCATGAGGGCAAGATAAAGCCAAGCTCGGCCTCTTCCCACAGCTGTCCTGAAGTCAAACAGAAGCAAACTGTTAGAGCTTAACAGTAACAACAGAAGACAAAACAATGAGACAAGTCAGCCCAAGAGAGACACAAATTCACGCTTTGAGTGCAGAGAACACGTAAGGACAGCTGCTCAGGGGCTGGGGGCGCGCACTGTCTGGGGAGGCAAGCAGCTCGCCACATGCCTCTGGGTGCCGTGTGAATTTTGTTATCATAGGCAAGTGGGGTGTTTTTTTCTATTTGGACAAAAGAGGAAAAAGTCTTAAGCCACAAAAATCTGATTCCTAGAACAAATACAATCAGATAAAACTGCATATATTAATAAAGTTTTATAGGGAGCCAGGAAATATTAGATTAGCTTTGTTTAAGGAACAAATATTCTTTCAAAGATTAATGTACAACATCATTAGTGCTTGTTAAAGCGTCGAAGACTCAAGGTTTCTGAGGCATTCGCTGAAAGGTGCAATTTTTAAAAAACTGGTAAAAAACACCTTAACATAAAATTTACCTGTTAAGGAATAATGCTCAGTATGTGTTCAGTGCATTACACTGTTGTGCAACCAGGCTCAAAGGCGCAAATCTGAAAAGGCCTGCTTTAAACATTATGAGAAGAAAAGCCTCCCCACTACAGACCTCACACTATTTAAGGAAAGCAAGCAAAGTGCACCTGAGACAGAGGCCCGAGTACAGAGGCACTGCTGTACTCAGTGTCTGCACCAGAGGGCGCTCTCAGGGCCAGGACTGGCTGGCACCCCGTGACCTCCGCAGCCAGGTCCACAGCGTTCGTCCAACTTCATGGGTACAAAAGGCTTGGAACACCACCCCCTCCCACACACACTACACCACCACCACCACCACCACCACCAATAAATTATGGGGGGAAACCAGAGCAAAAAGGAAAAGAAGTTCGGGAAAAAAGTCCTGAATGGGGGCGTGAGGTGGGAAATGGCCACTGACAGGGCCTGCTCAGTGTGAGTGTGAAGGGCGCAGCACCCCAGCGCGCAGCTGGCGGCTGCTGGTCCAAGTCCTACACCCAGGAGGCCATCGGCAGGCAACGGGTGGCGCGCTCAAGAGGTATGTCTGGGGACAGGCACCACTGCACTATCTGGAGAATGAACGCTGGAAGGCAAGTCCAGTGCCCAAAGGGGCATTACCCCAGTGAGCTGGACAGCAGAGGGCTGTGGGTGAGTGCCTGATACGGAGAGAGGTCTACAATCTACTATGGAACAGAAAAAAGCCTACAGGACGTATGGTTTAATACTTAATTTTCCCCAGCTCCCCTTCCCCATACATTAATATATTGTTTTCAGTTTAGGTTTACTTCCAAAACATTTTTATGCACATGGGAACAAATATATATTTATTTTTTCTCCTCTTTTTTATTAAAAAAAAAACCAAACATGTTATACATGCTGTCCTGCAACTTACTTACTTCACAGGGCTGTGCAGCAACAGGGCTTGATGGGATTTAGAGGATTTCAGTTAACACAGGCCCGTGTTCCCTTTCTGGGCAAGCTCCTTGCTCACTCCAAGTCTCACCTCCCATGCCTTTCACTGAGGACACCAACTGCTTTTCTGGAGGCTTGTTGTGGAGGATTAAATGAGACAATGAAATGTCCTTAACATAATGCCTGGCACATGGCACACCCTCAGTAAATGGTGGCTATTACTATTGTCTGAAAATGGAGCAGGTTGGCTCCACAGGGAAAGGGTCAGACAGAAGCTGGACAGTCCTGGGGGCTCTTATGCATCAGCCCAAGGATCTCTAGGGCCTCTTCTAAGTGAGATTCCATGATGATGATACCTTGTTTGTGTTCTGTCCAGTTTTTAATTTTGAGCCAATGATAGGGATCCTAAGGGCAAACCCAGACACAGCAAATGATTTGTTAGTCTCAGCCTTTTCACAAATACCACTTGTCCTGGGATCTAAAATCTGGCCTGAACTGTATTATTCAGAAAACTGCCCAAATGTACCTGAAGCTGTGATTATAGGAGTACAACAATGACTCCTTTTCCTTCTGCAGCTGCTTCTCATGTGACAATGCCATCCCACCCCAGGTGAACCTGTGTGACAAACAGAAATCACTGTCCCCAGTTTAAGAAGGAAACCGAGGCTCAGAAAGGGGCAAATCTTGCTCAAGATCATGTGGATAATGAGTAGCAGAGCTGGGACTATAGTCTAAGTATAGTGTGGCTCATGCAATTTGTTCTAAGTCAGAAAATATTTTATCAGCAAGGAATTGAGAAATGGGTAAATACAAGGAAGTTTTTTAGAAACATCAAATCAGTATAATGACTTTTTACTCACTTTAATTCTGGCAGATTTCTGACACTAGTGGCGATATCTGATGCTTCTGGACAAAGCTTCTCCACCAGCTCCAAAGGACCAAAGAAAGATTTATTTTGGCCAATAAAACTCTTCTTAACTAAAAGGGAAAACAGAAGTGTTATAGGAACAGGTTACAGGTCTTCAGGGGTCCACAGTCTTTCTTCCAAAAGCCAAATAAATACTTTAGATTAACTCTTCCACTTAATTCTTCAGATTTAGCCTTGGGGACTGGGAGAGAGGTCAGGTAACACGTGAGCTCTCCCTTCTGGAGCCAGGGATTCTCTGATGAACCCACCACGCGCTTTCTCCAAGTGTTCACTGCCTGTGAGATAAAACAGTGCCTCATGTGGTCACGTTGGAAACCCTCCCCTTTTCTCAGTGCCTGACTGCAAACAGACGTCACTGCCACCCTTCCCCCGCACTGCCGCTGGGGCCTCCTCCTGGGCCTCCTGCTCCTACTATTGTCACCTCCCCCCCCTCAGTCTGCCCTTCACATAGTTGGGGCTCTTAAAAATGTAAGTAAGGTCCTGTCTCCTGCTGGCTTAAAATCCTCCAAACCTTCTTAGAATAAAATCCAATTCTTCAACTGACCTATGAAGGCTCACATGTTCCTGACCTCCCCACTCCCTCCACTTAGCAGCCCTCAGTTACCTGTTGTCGTTCTCAAACCAAGCGTGGTCCCACTCAGGGCCTTTGTACCTGTTTTATTTTTTTCTGTTTGTGACTTTTGCTTTCCCCAAATCTTTGCATGATTGACTCCTTCTCCTGTATGTCTCAGCTCACACTTCACCTCCCAGAACAACCTTCCCCTTTCACCCTAGCTAAAAGGCGTTTTTCCTCACCCCAGCTGCTGTGGCTCAGTAGATTGAGTGCCAGCCTGCAAACTGAAAGGTCACTGGTTCAATCCCTAGTCAGGGCACAGGCCTGGGTTGTGGGCCAGGTCCCCAGCTGGGCCATACAAAAGGCAACCAATCATTGTTTCCCTCCCTCTCTTTCTCCCTCCCTACCCCTCTCTCTAAAAATAAATAAACAGATAAAATTTTTTAAAATAAAATGTTTTCCCCTTGATTTTCTACCACTGAACCCATTTTGCTCCCTTGAATTTGTAGCATTTTGTTATTATGATGGTTTGTTTCTGTATTTATTGCCTATATGTCCTTCTCTAGAATTGTGCTGTCCAAGGTAGCCACGAGCCACATGTGCTACTGACGACTCGAAACACAGCCAGTGCAACTGAGACACGCTGTAAGTGTAAAACACAGCAGATGGTTAAGCCTTCGTATATAAAAAGAATGCAAACTGTCTCACTAATAAGGCTTTTTAATAATGATTATGTATTAAAATTACAATTCTGTATTTTGGATATATTCGGCTCAATAAGATATATCTTGAAAACTAATTTCACTTGTTTTTTTGTTTTGTTTTTTGTTTGTTTTATTTTAACGCGGCTACCAGAACATTAAAAATTGCAGACATGGTTTGCATGGCAATTTCTATTGGACAGCACTGTTCATAAACGTCGCGTCTTGCGGGCAGGAGGTTGTGTTTTGTACCTTGCTGTTCTCGCAGCACCCAGAACTACTCGGCACTGAAGAACGCACGCTGAGCCCCAGGCGCCCAGGCTCACCTTTCAGCCCGTGTTTGAGGCAGTGCTCCATCACCACGAAGAACTGCTGCAAGGGGGCGTGGTCCGCATCCAGGCTGCGGCCCAGGCTCAGAGCGGACTGAAGCAAGACCTTGATGCTGAGTTTCATCATGTGCATCAGGTTGGCACGCTCCTCCATCATCTGGCACTTGGAAGCTGTGGGGCAGAAACAGGGACAGCTTCGTCAGTGGACTGAGCGTGCTGCCAGGCGAGGCGCTTGGACACTGGGCCACGGAAGCAGGACCGGCCAGGCGGCAGGCAGGCGGGCTGCTCCGAGCGCAGACGCGCGGACGACCGGGGTCGGTAGTCGCCCCGCCCCTGATCCGTGGAGGTCAGAGCCGCTCGGACGCCGCGGGGCGTCAGGTGAGATTCGAGGCCTCTCCCAGGCGGCTGCTACAGCGACCGCCCTACCAAGACTCGCACCATTGGGGTCACCCACCCCCAGCACTCCGTTTTCCACCCACCGAAGGCGCAGGGCGCAAAATGCAGGAAGCCCCACCCCCGCCCCAGACGTTTCTATTGGGCGAACCGCAGCGAGGCCACGCCCCCAGGCGCGGGGGCGCCTGTCGGACTTCGGCGTTCCTTCCGCCAGGAGGGGTCCTGAAACCTGCTCTAGGGTGTGACGGTGCCCTCTGAGTTCCTTCGGGGAAGCCCCAGCCACTCGATTCCAGACTCGCATTCTCATTTTTGCCAATCTTTTGCCCACAATTAGTGGGCAATTACGAGTTTTACACTTTTTTGATAGTGAAATAAAACTCAGCCATCTTTCCATTTCAGCTTCATATTAACCTTGTCACTTTGAGGGTTAAAAACTGTGTTCCACCAGGATTAGATTGCCATGACATATGTTGCCAAATGTGCCCTCACACCCAGGAAACTCATTGCAGAAACTTGTAAAAATGTGCAGCCCCAGCCTGAACGCTGCAGCCGGGAAACTGCCCTCAGGCCAGGACGGCCCCCGGGGTGCCCCTTCTGCAGGGCTCACCACCCTACGCCTTTCTAACGCGGGCCAGCTGGGAGGGGGCTGGGAGCCAGGTTGTTTCACTTCGCAGTTGTCAGATTCCTACTGGGCTTAATCATCAGGTTTAGTCTCCTCGTCTCTGAGTTGCTCGTTAAATCTTCATTTAGATTTATCTGCATATTTCGGATATTAATCCTTTGCTTACCTGCTTTGATTTTATGAGCCTTAATATGGACACATAAATAGAAGAGCATATGTATGTGTAGCTGAATTGAAAAGAACGATGTTATGACTGAATTTATAAGAAAGATATTAAATAAACATTATTGAGGCTTGAGACAGCCGGGATGGGGCTAAATATTCTCAATCCTTTCAGCACAACCTAAGACTAGTTGCGGGGAAAGGAAAATCCCTCTAAACATCTCATCTTGGTTATGGAGAGAGAAAAATGACTTAAGTAAAGCATTGGGGTCAGGCGTGGTTTACTTATTTTTAAATCTTGAGAGAATCTTATGTAGTACAATTATAAATTTGAAAACTTTAATGAATTGGATGATGGGCAAAGGAAAAAAAAATTGTGAAAACCTCATCAAGAGCAAAGAGTAACCCTGCATAGACCAATAACCACAGAAGTGATTTGTAAAGATTTAACCTCAAAGAAGGCAGCGGTCTTCCAGGGATGACACACATCCACGCGGAGGCCGAGGCAGGCCCTGGTGGCTCACACGCAACTCCCAGGCCTTCCAGTCCCACTCTTTCCTCTCTTTCCTCTTTCCTCTCCTGTCCCAGGGGAAGAGTGTCACTTCACTCCCTACCCCCTTATCCTCTTGATGCACTGGCCTGGGGTGTAGAAAGTCCCGCACATGCCCCAACATGAACAGCTTCCATTCCCTCATTTATTGCACTTAGTCAAGGAAACCTAGTCTGGGGGAGGGGAATCCCTTCCAGCCCTCTGCTGGGTATCCTAAATTTATAGTTAAAAAAAATCCCCCTCCCCCAATTCATACGTAATTGTTCTCAGCCAGTCTCAATGCCCACTGCCCTATGATGGGCCATTACCTTGGTGGACATGTTCCATAAATTAAATGAGCCAAAAGGTAACTCCAAGTTTTTGATGAAAATGGATTTGAAATACACATAAACTAAGTCTTTTTGTCAAAAAATGTTCTATCAGCAAAGGCATAATGAAATAAACAATATTTAGATGTCCTCAATCATTTTGAGTGTTCTGGGTTAAACAAGGTAGCTAGGTAAAGAATTACAAGCATAATTATCGTTTGATAAGTCTTAGTAAAACCTTTTTTGGGAAACTTCCTAGAAGTTGAGAAATTTTTTTTTTAAAGATTTTATTTATTTTTTTTTAGAGAGGGGGAGGGAAGGAGATAGGGAGAGAAACATCGATCAGTTGTCTCTGCTACGCGCTGGGGACCAAACCCGCAACCCAGGCATGTGCCCTTGCCGGTGACCTTTTGCTTTGAGGGATGATGCCCAACTAACTAAGCCACAATGGTCAGGGAAGAAATTTCTTTATACATGACTAGACTGCATTCTTTCTTGCAAGTCAGGTGATTTTCATTTGCTTTGAACAAAAAATTTAAAAAAATTACTGACAGATCTATGTGATTTAGGGTATATAACTTAGGAGTTCAAAGACTTGAGCAACACTGCTCTAACAAAACTGTCCATTTATATTTCTTATTTGTATGAACCAGGTTTCTCAGGGATGACATCTATAAAAAACCAAAAAATTGGAATAAAATCAATACCAAGTTCTATCACATTTTATCAGTAAATCTTATACATACATCTATATATATATATATGTGTGTTCGATGAAAAAACCAATACCATTTAGGGCTCTTAGAAGCAATTCCATGAAAATTTTATGTATAATTATTTATAAAATTATATTTAAGTTCCTCTTTATCAACTTAGCATCACTAATAACTTTTATGGCAATTCATTCCAGAAGAAAAAATTTTTATACGCTTATCGAGTGTTAGTCACAAGAAAAGTTTATTTATTTTTATTTACATATTTTTGGCTGAGATATATGATAGGATGACCAATAAAAAATTATAAAACATATGGAAGAGGAATGGAAATTCAAGTTCAAGGAATAAAAGGAAAAATGTAAAATTTTCAAATATTAAGTAACTTATTTATTTCTAAGATGATTGCTAGTGCTTATCAAATCATGAAGGCATTTACATACTACTTGATACACTTAAAAGTGATATAACAGTTTTATTTCAAAAAGTCAATATTCAAGCCCTGGCCAGAGAGCTCAGATGGTCAGAATGTTGTCCTGATATGCCAAGGTTCCAGGTTTGATCTCTGGTCAGGGCACATACAAGAAGCAACCAATGGCCCTGGCTGGTGTGGCTCAGTGGACCGAGTGCTGGCCTGCGAACCGAAGGATTGTGGGTACATGCCTGGGGTGTGGGCCAGGTCCCCAGTTAGGGGCGGGGGTGCACGAGAGGCAACCACATATGGATGTTTCTCTCCCTCTCTTTCTCCCACTTTTCCCCGTTCTCTACAAATAAATAAATAAAATCTATTTAAGAAAAAAAGAGCAACCAATGAATGCATAAATAAGTGAAACAACAAATCGATGTTTCTCTTTCTCACAAATCAATTTAAAAAAAGAATGAGGAAAGTCAATATTTACAATAAGCCAGAAAATGTAACCTAAATACTTTAAAATTACAATGAAGAATTTCATATGCCAACTTTAAAAGCTGAAGTTTTTTAGGGGGTCATGTGAGTCAAAAATGTGAAGACATGTTTGAGGTGGTCGGAGCTGGGGTGGCAGTGGCTCTTAACACTGATCCTCAGCACTGGCAGCGCACCGTGGCCGGCTTATCTGCCACCCCCTGCTTGGTGAGTCACTTATTCCCATTCATGCCCAATTTAGAGTTACAGAAAGTGTGAGCTGGGAGGATCTCTAAGCCAGTCCATCTCTCAATTTTACTGTGGTCGGCAGGTAGAGAAACATGAGCAGAGCAAGGACAGTGGGCCAGGTGCTGGAGGTCACCGGGCGGAAAGCCCCGGGTGCCGGGCAACGGGCAACACCGGGAAAACAAGGGCCTGGCCCCCAGGGTGACCTCTTCCTCCCTGGCAAGTCACCAGTCACGCGGCTTAGACCCCTTGGAATGGGAACGAACAAGGAGCTGGGGAACAGCCCTTCAGCATGGAGCCCCCAGGACAGTGAGGTCCTGACCCGCATCAAATACGTCCAGGCCTCAGTTGTGCCTCAGCTCCAGGCCCAGAAAAGCAGGAAGACCAGACAAGTGACACCCCGGCTGCCCCGGCACCAACCAGTCTGCAGACCACGACCCCGAAAGGACACACCTGCAAAGCCAAGGACTGCTGTACCGACGCCCTCCCCTGGGCCCTCCCCTAGGCTCCACCCTTCAGAGCCCTTAGGACGAGGACCCAGTGCTCCAAGGAGAGTAACCGGTGCTGAGCTAGAAGCCCCTAAAACCTCCACTAACAGGGTTGGGGAAGGGGAAGCAGAGCGGGGCCACGGTTACTTTGCATATCTAAAGAACTTGGCCAGTGTTTTAGTAATGCTAATAGCTGCACCCACAGGGAGATGGGCGTGACTCTAACACGCGAGGCAGCCAGGAGGCGGTTCCCACGTCCAGGGCTGGGGTCTCCAGCCAAGTCTGCCTAGACTAACAATAGCAGCCAAGAAAGGCAGAAGAAACCAGGAGTACTGGCAGGCGTTGCCCTTTGTGGGAGGAGTTGGAAGTGGGGCTACAGAGGAAGATCTCCACTGTGATTTAAACCCAAGTACAGGCCAGTCATGCTCTCTTAGCCACAGGGGTGGGGGTGGGGTTTCTGCCCCACAGCTTAGAATAGAGCAGTTGGGGGGCGGGGCGGGTCTTGGCCATGAGGTTTGAAAGGATGCAAAAGGACCCCCACCAGCCCACCATGAGGAGGGGCCACACACTTTAGAATTGAGAGCGGGAGCCTAGCTGAGCACGACGACGACTGGGAGAAGCCGAACAGGAATCTGCCCAGCTGAGCTGCGGACTTCTATTTCTTTTCTGAGAGAGGGTACCTCGGACTGGCCTGGTTTGGCAAGGTGAGACAGGATTGCATGTGTTTGTGGGAATTTCTTTTGTTTTTAAGGGAGTGGGATTTAATGGAAAAATTTCGCCAGTGTTTTAATTCCATATGACTTTTGAATAAATAGTTCCTTTCCTTTTCATGAGACTCCGGCATTGGGAGTCCTGCTTTTTTTGGTGGCGGGCAATAGAACCCAGAGCGCGTCTGCTTCAGGTTCCTGTCCGGCTGTGCCTCCCCCTCTCCCAGGTGTGTTACCATTACCTCCCTCTCTGCTGAGCTCCAAGGGCCCTTCTTTTCCTCTGCATTTTGTTTCCTGACCCCATTTCTTCCATGGCTCACTTCTTCTACCTCTGTGACTTCCTATATAAGCTTTCTCTTATAGTTTGAGTCTTGGCTCTGAATTCTTTCCTGGCCAGAACGCAAGCGCTGAAGCTGCTGAACCACGGTCTGGTCTGACTCAGTTGGTTTAACGCCTGGTACTGTTCTCACCACTGCCAAGCTTATTAGCTATGAGATCCTGGCCTAGATATTCACATCCCTATGACTCATCAGTAATAGTTTGACACAACACACGGAGTGTCACAAAATTCTACGCTTATGAAATTGGTAAATAATTGGTCTGATCAGTGATCTTGGCGTCGATCCTTTTAGGGGCAGGGCTTTACCCTAAATGAGCGTGGCTGAGACAGGCTGAGTGGCAGATAATATGAAGCCCCCCACCTTCTGGCTGGAAGAATGTTGTCAATAGTTTTCAGAAGCTTGTGATCTGAATTTTTATGTAAAACCTGCTAATTACCTAAAAAACATTTAAAAAAATGCTTTTATACCTGCAAGAGAGAAAAAACAATGCCATTACCAGCCACAACCAGCTCAAAGTAATGCCAGTTTGTTGTAACATCTAGTAGAGAGAATAAGGACTCAGGAGGGGCAGTGGGCTGTACAGGGTTTTTGGTTGAGTTCTGAATTACAGAGAAGTGACTAGATTTTTAATAGATTTAAGTTTTAGTTCTGAGTAGCCCTTTGGTTTTTTGAAAGATTTTATCATACAGTATGGTGTCATCCTATACTGACAAGGAAGAAAACCACAACATGAAGTGGGAAAAGTTATTGTGCTTCCTTTTGGAAGGAGCTGTACCACAAAATAAACTTTGTCATGGAAGAGAACAGAAAAAGGCATACCCTCCACCTACCTAATGGCAAATGTAAAATGAAAGAATGACTTCTTCTGTGAGTACCCATGTGTGAGACATTGTGCTGGGCACTTGAAACACATGTGTCATGTTATTCATCCTTTAGGAGAAGGCAGCAATCCAGAGTGCAGGTGTGGAAACGTGTGTGTAAGCCCTGTGCGCGGGGATGAAAGGACGGGCTACAGGCACAGGTCTCTCAGGAGGACCGGGGACAGTTTCTGGGATGGAGGACTTCTACACTGAGTCTTCTTTTGTATGTTTTGTTTGGTTTTGTTTTACCACGCACACTTATTATCCTAAAAACACACCCACCTAAAACAAACAACTATGCGAGCACAATCGCTGTGACACGCTGTGCTACCGGACCCCACACGGGACAACACTGTAAAACAAATACTCAGAGCATTCCACAACATTCTACAGCGTTTCCCTTGAACCTCTGTTACCCTCAAATTTTTATCTGTCAAGAGTGCTGCTCACATTGGATCTCTTCTCCTTCACCACTTCCTCTGAGAAAGCTCTGTCCTCACTGCTTGCGGAGGCAGACCAATGGGAAAGGGAGGCGTGAGCAGGCCCTGGCTGAAGGGCGCGACAGGAAGGGCTGTCTTTAACTAACCTGCTTTTCCTGTCCCACTGGGTGGCTTCAAATCCAGGTCATCTTTGGGGACTAGCCACACAGCTCATCCTGGATGTTCCCCACATTTCAGCAAGCCATGTTCACAATTTTTTCCAGACTGGAGTGGCAGTTATTTACTTACTATTTTCTATAAACTGACTAAAAAAACCCATGTGTATACGTTATCGCATTTTGCTTATAAAATTAGAGGCGTCAAGGCATCGAGGTGTTGTGACTGAGAGCGTGGCCCCAAGAGGCAGATGTCTCGGTTCTAGCACTGCTGCTGCCATTTCTAAGTGACTGGGTCAAGTCACTCCCCTTTCATTCAGTTTCCCTCTTTATGAAACAGGGATAATAATGGTACCTATTACAAGGCAATGGCTACTTGTGTGGAGGCGAGGAAGTCAATCTCCCCTTCATAGGTCCTAAGGCATCACGACTTCCTGCAGAGATGCAGGGGGGGGGGGTGCGGGGGTGAGAGGCGCCTGCCCAGCTGCCTGCCAGTGTGCTGTGGCGCTGCCAGCCTGTCCTGCCCAGGGGTTCACAAAGTGTGACCCCCGACCCTCCCTGGGCCTGCAGTGGTCATGCAGTAGGGTCAGGGAGGGGGAGGGAGATGCCCCAGGGCAGTCCTAGTGGGCCAGGGAGGCTAAGAACTTGTTCCAGGGAGGCAGTCGAAGGTGGCACCACGCATGAGCCAGGCTCCGAGATCCCTCCTTCCCTACACACTCCTTTGTTCCACCGGACTTCACTTACAAAACACAGATTCAGGGATATAACTGCTAAAAATTTCAAGTGTAGGGCACTTCTCTGTGCTTGGCCCTGGGTGACCACACTAACCAAAGGGAGCACTGGTTACACACCATAAAACCAGTCCTGCTATTACACAGTATTGTGAAGGTACAATGAATTAATGTTAGAGATCTAAGACTAATCTCCAGCACAATATAAGTACTGGCTATTATTCATAGCACTACCATAAATGAAAAATGCATATATTTTTTCAAATACAAGGTAGGGCAAAAGTAGGTTTACCATTGTGAGTATGCAGTTTATTCTTGCATTATTACTTATTAATTACTGTATTATTTTCCATATGAACAACTGTAAACCTACTTTTCCCCCACCGTGTATGCATTTGTGTGCTAGGCACTGTTACATTTTGTCAGTGAACGTTTAACATTTATCATCGGCTTACTACATGCCATAACCTATCTAGGAGACCTCCAGAAGACTCCAGGCCTTGACTCAGGACTGCCAATGGATGGGTGTACAAACAACCAATGACATGTGCAAAGGTGGCAAGCCTGTGGGAACCAGGAATCTGGGCTGAACAGCCTAGCCTCTCTCATTACCTCTTAGACCTACTTTTTATTGCCGGAATCTCAAAAGAAGTCAGATTTCAAAATTTACTCCATCTTTTTTAACCACTGACATTTTCATTATTCATTCAGAATAATGAATCCACAATTCATTATTCTGGTGTCAGTGGTAACTTCTACAGCAAATTTACCAGCGGACAAGACAGATGCAAGAAACCTCCGAGGTCCGCTACTGCTTCTGAGGAGAGCACTCCCGCCTTCTGTCAGCTCTGCTCTGCAGCGCTTTCCATGAAGAAGAAAATGCTCTCACTGTGTTATGCAATAGGTAGCTACTAGTAGACTAGAAAGTCACACGGTTAATGTTTCCATTCTTCTCACAAATGTGCTGAAACTCTTTCTAGGCGACAACGGGCTGTAAAGGACTATAAGACATCATCTGGTCAATAAAAAAAATCCCCATTTTGCAGGCCGGGCGAAGTGTGGTGCTGGGTCCAGCACACAGCGAGGCAGGTGGTGGGGGAGCTCAGAAGTTCAGGTCTTACCTGCACCCATACCTCCAGCCTTTCATTTTGGTGCGGCGAGTCCTCCAGGACTGTAGAGGCGCTATTACACCTGCAGGTGTGAACCGGGCTGGCATTTTGCGATTTACAACAGAGAACACTCCTGAATTCACTTAAGTATTTTTAAAACTTATACAGATCACCTAAGCTCAAACTCATATATTTTCCTAAAGTTCACCAATGAAAATAAGGACATTGTCTGGGGAACGCAAGTGGGAGTCGATCCCCCCCCTCCCCGCCCAAGCCTACGTGTTTATCTGGGCGTGGCTACACGGGGTACAGAGAGGACCAGCCAGGCGTGTTAGCATGTTGGCTTTTTCCAACTTGTCTAACAGGGTCCCGCCGCTGGGCTCCCACAGCCAAGGGCCACCTATCCAGCGGGAAGCACCGCGGAGCGCGTACGCCAAACCTACCTGTACGCGCCGCGCCTTCCGTCGCGTCCGCGCCGCCCAGCCCCGCGGCCGCGCGCAGCGCGCTCCCGCAGCTCGCCGACAGGTTGCCCGTGGCTCTGCGCGCCAGGGTGAGGATGGGCGCGGACCAGCCATCCGCTGCCGCCCGCCGCCTGGCCGCACTGTGCAGGTCCCCCGGGCTCGGCAGCTGGCTCCGGTCCACGACCTCAAAGTCTTCTCCCGGCTCCAGCCCCGGCCCGCGCTCCGCCGGGCAGCCGTCGCCCCCGTCGGCGGCCATGTTGGCCGCGTCACGTGGCCCTGGCGGCGGCGAGCTCGCGGCGGCGGCGGCCGCGCTCCGCGCTCGCGGTCGCACTTTCCGGTCGGCCTTGGCCTTCCCTTGTTCGCCAGCCTCCTTCCCTTCTTTCCTCTGGAGGTAGGTTCGGGAAGGCAGTTCTGACTGCAGAAAGAACCTCAGCCGCGCGTTTCAGGGCGTCACCCTGGGCTTGCCTTCTCCCCTTTTCGGGCGCGCCCAGCCCAGCCTGGAACACAGCCCTACGGCCTCTTTCCTTTGTGACACTAGTTCCTCTTTTTAATTTTCATTTCCTATTTTACTTTTCCTACTTCGTCATTTTTCTGCAGCAGTCTTCAGGGCAAACCCTAAAAAGGGCAGGAAAGAAAATTCCTGTCTCAACAGGAGAGGCAGGAAAGAGTATTTTAAAAAACTAGTACAGCGGTTTAGCAGGAAAGACCACACTGCGGTGGATTGGAAACCAGAAGGCCCGGATTCTGCTATTAATTAGTTAAATGGGACAATCACAGAACTTACCTCATTATTAAATAAGATTTTGCAGTAAGGAGCACAGGGCAGATGTTAGCAATTGTAATGATTGCTACCCAGCCATATGGCTTGGGCAAGGCGCTCTGCACTTGTGAGGAGTTACAGCCTGTTTTGTCACTTGAGAAAGACGGGAATTTGACAAAGTAGGAACGCAAACTTCACAGCATTTGACGCTTTGCAAAGTACTGCAAGTGGGCCTCATCAGACCAGAACTGTTTGGTGTGACCCGCAGAATGCTTAAATTTTAAATTCAAATATTTTAAGTTGTTGGGAGATATTTAGAAATTAAAAGTAATTTGCATGAAACTCTGGACTTTGACCTCTGGAAACATCGGAAGACTTGGCAACTCAGTATTCCTGATGGCAACAAATTGATGGAGTGGACAAGGGCTTCCCCTTTGGAAGTCCAGGTGTCTTGGTCCAGCCCGCTCCTCTGGTTTTCATGGTCACTCTGGATCCTGCCGGCTGGTTGTTTTCAGTGGAGTGGGGAGTGAGCGGAGAGTGATTGAGGAGCGGGGTGGACCAGGCGGTTATATCGTCTGCAGTAACAAAGCAGTTGTCCAGACTCCTTCAGGACTCTCCAATGCCCAGGACAGTCACGTAACGGAAAGCTTATTTGCAGTCATCAGAGCCTGGAGCCTAATTCCATTGTGCATAAAAACATAAACTCTTTTTGGGGGAACAGTTTTAATATGGTACCGGTCTTTGCTTCAATAACAACCCTAAATCTGAGTGGCTTAACAGAAGTTTGTTTCTCCCCACACTTCACGGGGGAACCTGGGCTTTGGCAGGTTCCCTCACTTGAAGCAGAGTTCTACATCAGCATTAAATGCCCCAGCCCTGAGGTGACAGGCTCCACTTGCACCCATTTCCTTGGCCAAAGCAAGTCACATACCACCTCTAACTTCAAGGGAGTTAGAAAGCTCAATCCTACTATTATCTGGGAAACGGAGAAGTGGGAATATTGGTGAGCAGTATAATAACTACCATAAATGTATCCTGAATTTTACTAGAATGCAACTGAATTGATTTGTTCAGAAACTAAGAATTATTCACCATTTCAGAACATCACATCACCCACAATAACGTTGCGTTTGGTATTTGAAATGTTAAGACAATGTCTGTACAATGTCACAGTCATGGGTATTTTATGCAAAGATGCAAATGTTTGGTTGCAGTATTTCTTTCAGTGGTAGTTGTACTTCACACATTGAAATAGATATGACAGACTCATTACAGTTAGGACAGTAGATTAATTTTTTGAAATTTTAAGTGTTGGTCAGTTTATTACCTATGAATTTTATTTTAAAATTGTATGGGACATTATAAAATATGTATTCCTGATAGGGTAGACAATTGAGTGTGCTGGTAATGGTCTTAATTTTCCTAGCAACAAACAGCAATTCTGAGTGCTTTCAGTTTTTCCTTTACATGAAGTCAACTCGAGAAAACTTGGTAAGAGGAGTTTTGATGAAGAGGATATGTGTGATGATTTTAGATCAAAATAGTAACATTTAGAAGACACCCTAACATATTTGTTATAAAGTTCCTCCCCCCATGCTTGTGGCCCAGTTCTCCCTCCCTGAGCCCATGCCCTTTTTTTCTTTTCTTTCTAATACTATTGCCCTCTTGTGTGGGTGTCGCCTCGCTCTTTTCTCCTCTCTGCTTGCGCCCTGTTATGCATTGGGTCTCATCTGCCTGCTGCCTTTTCCTGAGTTGGAGTCTACCCTCAGCCCATTGTCACTCTCGTTTTTCTTTCTCATCTTCTGGTGGATTCCCACCGCATTTAGATCCTCTCTCTCAAATCTGGCTCTGCCCTTCTAGTCCCAGCTGCCCACATGGATTCTCGTCTTGAGTTTTGCAGTCACCCTCCAGGATGTCTCCATGTGTCTTGGGGCTTCACTTCCTCGTTTTTGACACCTCAGCCCTTAGACTTCCTAAGGCCCATGGCGGATCGTTTTGCCCTCCTGCTTACAAATCTCCCTTTGCTTCCCCTTCGCAGGAGGCTTTTTCTTGTCGTTGTGCTGCAGGTGCAGATTGCTCACTGGCCCCTCAGTGTGGACTAGCAGTGGCATTATGCAGCACCTTGGGGTGGTTTGCTGATTTGCTTGAGCCCAAAGCAATTCCCAAAGAGGCAGATCCTCCTGGCCTCCTTGGTTTCATGAGTTGGCCCATCAGCTGAGAGTCCCTGGGGCTTTACTAAGTTCTCATGTGTTCACAGTATACATTTTGATTGGCATTTTATAATCTAGGAGATCCTTACTGTCTGGACATAGTTGCTATCCTGGTGTCAGGAACAGCCATTTAAAGTCAAGTCATTGTTCTGAACAGTGCAATGTAAAGCATAAACCGTTAGCTATGCGCGCTGCCTGATAGACCCTCTGATAGAGGTGATAGAGGTGATGGAATGTTCTAGGGTTGTGGGCTGTATGGGGACCACCAGCCACAGGTGGTCACTGAGCTCTTGCAGTGTGGTTCACTGAGAAACAGAATGTTTACTTTAATTAAATTAATTTAAATTACAAGAGCTCTGTGTGGCCAATGACTATTGTACTGCACAACACAGGTGTAGATCTAACTCAAGGTTACAGGGAATGGGGGAGAAGGGAAGGAGGGAAACGGCACCTGTAGTAAACAGCAAGACTCTTCAGAAGGGGCAGCGTCCCCTGGGGCTGGCAGAAGAGGCAACCCCATGAGACCAGAATTACCTGCTGGGAAGACTGGTTGCCAGTTGCGGGGATTTGAATATGGACTGGATATTAGATATTATGGAATTACAGTTACTTTTGTTAATATGAAAATGGATTGTAGGTGTGTAGGAGAGGCCATTATTTCTTAGAGCTGCATTAGAATATCAGGTGTTAACATGTGATATCTATAACTTACTTTAAAAACTCAGCAAAAGAAAATAGATAATGCAGATGTGCCAAGAGTGTGACAGTTTTGGAGTCTAGTACCAAATATAAGTTATTACAGATTCCTTCTACATTTTCTGTATTTTCATAAGAAAAAGTGACAATACATCAAAACATAAATCCATATGCAACAGGAGCCAATGTTTCATAAATAGTAAAAAAAAACTCCACAAAAAGTTTGAGATTTTTTTGAAAAATGAAAACAAAAATTAACAAAATTATTTTATATACATTTAACAAAATTTAGAATGTTCACAACCATGTGCAGGCTTTTAGAATGAATGAAGATTGAACAAATGCTGATTTTTTTGCACATTTCTTTCTGAAAAATTACACGCTATTAAGATACAGCATCATCATTCATGTGCCATCTGATGAATGGTAGAATCAGAAAGAGTCCAGACTATTTAGGCTTCATTTTATTTCTCAAGGCCTCTTCAGTCCTTCGATAGACAAACCATACCATTTGGGTTTTTTTTTTTTTTGGTGGCTATATTTCCATTTAAATTGTATCTCTTTGCATGTAGTTAGTACTCAAGCTAATTAGCCAAAAGTGGTGAAGTAATCCTCCCATCCTCCATGCTGTTCATCCTTCTGGATGCTCTTACGGGATGTGTGATAGGGAAATGCAGCCATTTTATTGTTACTGCTCTATACTTTGTGCTTATCTGAGCTCATTCTTCACTTTTAATACATGTTATAGCCCTGGCTGGTGTGGCTCAGTGGATTGAGTGCCAGCCTGTGAACCAAAGGGTCACTGGTTCAATTCCCAGTCAGGGCACATGCCTGGGTTGCAGGCCAGGTCCCCAGGAGGGGGCACACGAGAGGCAACCACACATTGATGTTTCTCTCCCTCTCTTCCTTCCTTCCCCTCTCTCTAAGAATAAATAAATAAAATATTTAATAAAAAAATACATGTTGTAGATTCATTATTTTTTCAACCGTTGTTTTTTGAAGCTCCTATTGGATCATTAGTGTTGACTTTCTTTTCTGCCGACCTCCTGTGTCTGTGGCTTTGTATGGGAATTGAGTGGGACCCGAGCAGCATTCTCGTTTACTCGGGAAATCTTTGCATCCTTGTGCAAAACTGTAGTTTTGCTGTACAATTGATTTGCACTGTAGACATCTGACAGTCGGAGAGACTGACTGGCCTTTGGTGCAGTATGTGGGGAATGGTGCTTTGAGTCAGCAGGCATTAGCTTTGAGTAGGGACTGATTTTATGAGTGACAATAGATTTTATAAGGGGTAATACTAATATATTCACTAGTGAATATTTAAACATTATGAAGACTTGGTTCTCTAAACGGCCTTGTAACTGTAGGGACTTGGGTAAAATATCTGCAGATGAAGACACTCTCTGTTTGGAGTTTAGAACTGAGAACAGGTGCTGGCGCTGAGACGGCATCAAAGCTCAGCAGTTTGAAGGGTGATCAATTAAAAGGAAAACCTTCCCCGCTCACCACACTCCTGACTGATTGTCCAGAGTGGGTGCACCCTGCCCCTGCTCCTGCAAGGCTGCCCCTACTCCCGCCCTCACATCAGAGGCTC